CAAATGGGTTACCAACACATATATTTTAAGTTGCATATGCTGTGGCCATATGTGACATTAATAGGCTACCCTTTCTTATTTGTTCCATATACTGTGGCCATGTGTGACTCAAATAGGGTTCCCTTACTTGTACATGATGTTTTATATTTTAAATTTCGTTTGCTATGTCCATTTGTGACTCTTATAGGTTACCAAACAGATCAATTTTAAGTTTTATTTACGGTGGTCATGTGTGACTTTAATAGGCTACCCGTACCTATATTTTAAGTTTTATATACTGTACCAATTATGACTATCACAGTATAGTATAGTCATGAATTAACTAAATAAAATACCCATTGGGTATTTAAAAGTCACAATTTATGAAAATTACGTTCTTAAGCCCCCGATGATATTTACGGGGAAGAAAATTGTTTTGGCAATTTAGTGGTCATTAGCCTCGACGTGACCTATGGAAATTAGTCGCTCCCATCTTGTTGCCCGAAAATATCCGAATGAACCCAACATAATTGTGGTATCACACAACAGTTTGTGTTCACTATTGAACATAATGACCTCTGCACCGAACTGTATATCATCTGAACTGAACAGAATGATAGTACCAAAAAACCACTGAACATAACGACCTTCGCACCGAACAACACATTGACTTGACTGAAGAAGATATAATCAGCACACAAGATAATGATAGTACCATTTAAGATAATGATTGTACCATTTAACAGTTCTATTTCACGACTGAACAGAAGGAATAAAGCATCCAACAGCATGTCATTGCAACTGAAAATAATAAAAGTATCACCCAATAATACACTGCCTCAGCCAAACAAAATGATAGTACCACTCAACTGTTGATTTTCATGGTTGAACATGATGAGAAGAGCACCAAACAGCATAATATTATAACCGAACATAATAACTGTAACACCCTACAGCATATCTTTTTAACTCAACATAATTGTGTTACCACATGCCTGTTTGTTTTAAGAACTGCACATAACGACTTATGCACCCGACAAAACATTGACTTGACTGAATAAAATACAGTCAGCGCACAACATAGCACTTCAATAACTGAGCACATTAGGATTTCCACCCAGCATTTTGTATCTCGGACTCAACAGAAAGACATTTAACCATGTATATCATTCATCCTTAACATAAGACAGTCCAGGCGTTCCATACATCTAAACTAACAGCTGTTATCTTGTGTATCACAAGAATGTAACCAAAAAAACCAATATCCCTGTAGCTCCGCCTCCAAGGCACACATGCGGAACAACGCCGGTAAATCATTTCATTCGATTTACCTGGTTAGTAGCACTGGCTCTTTAAAGTTGATTTTTACTAAAATAAATTCTTTCAAAATTTGAAAAATTGGACAAAAAAAAAACTCGCCGCGCTTGACCAATTTAATTTTGTAAATACGTACCAAGTAGGTTAAATTTTTATTAGTGTTTGAAAATATTTTTGTCCTATAGGATTGCAGTATTTCATATGAATTGAAACACAATCACTTTGGTAAATTGGCGAAATGTTAACCAGGCTAATTAATCGACTGTTTATAAAAATAATTTAAATCACTAGTATAGGTTAAAAATTATTAGTACGTATTTACAAAAATAAATTGGTCTGTCGAGGCGCAGCCGCGCGACCAATTTATTTTTGTAAATGCGTACTAATAAACGCAACATTGGTTGACACCCCGAACCACAAAAATCATGCCTGTCAATATCAGCGACGTCTGATCTTTTACCGCCTTATGCAAAGTAGAATACTTAATTCGCGAAGGTCAAGGATTATGTTTTATGTTTATAGTTATGATGTTTATATTTGCATTCATGACGAAGGATTGTATTTACTGCATTAACAAATAAAATCTACGGACGAGTCTGTACACCTGTGACCTTAGTGTAGATGCATCTTTTAAAAACGGTTAATTGATATACTACTTGTATAAATTGAATTCAATTCTCTTACAAACCGACGCTAACCACAGAAATTAATTGTTAATATATATAAACATGTCATCGCTAGAAAATTACAGAAATAGGGAACGCATCGTAATTTGTTAGAACAAAGCTTGGTACATGTCTAGCATTACCGTGTTTTCAATGTTGCTCTTTCACTTTAATTATTAATTGGAATATAAGACTGGATGTAACACCTTTTCTCGTTTTTATTCAAAATCTCATAGCAGCTTTTCGGCTCTTTTTATTGTGAATATAATTCGGTACCAGTAAGTCATGTTAATTTTATCACAAAATTGTACTTCTAAACCTTTTCCATCTCGTCTGAAAATATATTGTTCAAAGTATTGATTTACCTGAAACGGGGTCTCAGTTATTGCACATGGGCATTCAAGCTAGAATTTGCCAGGTGTTGTTTATTTTTAAATGTCACAAGTTCTCTGTTATGCTCATATTTTCATAGTCAAGTTGAGCTGAATTGACTTTATATTTCAAAGGATTGACTGGTGTTTGACCAAAAGTTGATATTGGAAAATGTTTAGGATAAAATTATAAATACGCCTAAAATTTGAAAAGACTGTCCCACTCTGTTTATACAGTAAGCGTTATAGGTAAATTCTAATGGATCTTTACAGAAATTTCATTTGGATCTGTGTGTAATTTATTGTAAATGCGAACTTTATTATCAAATTGAAAGGAATTATGGCAAAATGAAAACTTATTTTGATCTTCACCCGTTCACTTACTGGGCATAATATCACTTTAAACAACATGCAAAACTTCAAAACATATAAATCGCTGTACTATTTTAATTGCTGTATTGCATATAAAACAAAATGCTAGGAAACCAGTAATGTTTTCATTTAAAATGTTCAGATTGAAAACTCGGATTAAAAAAAACTGTTCACCATCTATTACAGATAATTTAATAAATGTATTTGTTTTTACGGCTACTTTCTCTTTAATCCTTTATATTTCTATGAAAACATGTCCACGATATTATAAGACGAGCGTCTAAACTAACAGCTGTTCTCTTGTGCATCGCACGAATGTAAACAAAAAACCAATATCCCTGTAGCTCCGCCTCCAAGACAAACATATTCGGAATAGCGTCGGTTAATCAGTTCGTTAGAAGCACTGGTTGTTTAAAGCTCATTTACTTTCAAAATTTGAAAAATACTGCCATCTCATTTGACATTTACAAAAAAGGATTTGTCGCGCGGCTGAACATTTTGCCACAATATACACTCAGCCAAAAGAAGAAACTTTACATTATGTAGACCAGAATTTCAGTCTTGTTATGATTTTATTGACATGTCGATACACATCACGATAATCTCGAGCAGTTGTATCATGCAAGGGGATGCTCCGGCTTTTAACACAGAGCACGCCTCAAATAATATCATGTAATATTGAGTAAAAACGTCTTACGCAGAAACTTATGCTATTATTCACAATTTCGAAAAAACATTATTGTTAAATCGTAAGATTTTAAGCAGCCAGGCCACGGCTATCTGGAAATCAAAGTAATCAGGCTATTGGGATGTTGGAAGCGGGTAATGGACATTGCACAGCATTTTGGCTTCTCTAGGGAAACAAGTCATAGTCTTAGTACACTGTTCGGTAATTTTGGATCCTTTCATGATCGTTCGAGATCATGTGACCTCATGTGACGTCATTAAGGGATGACCACGTTATTAGGCTGAATCACTTTCGCAACTTTTTTTTTCCTGCTACCGCCGCTAGTCGACAATTACGTGTCAATGCTCAATTTGCCCGAAATCCCACATTGTAATTCGTCCTCGCAAACAATATACTGGTCAGATACTGAGACCCTACCATAGGGTACCAGATTGGCCTAGGCACAGCGTCACTTCCGCTGGACACGAACCCAGTGGGGTCGCGATATTTTCAGCGACGAATCTCGCTTAAGAGTTATTTTTACTGACGGCAGGTTGAGAACCTATCGTCGCAGAAATTACCGCTTCCCACTTCGTTGCATCCGGTTTTGTTGGGTGAAATGAGAGAGTATGGGGAGGGATTATGGGGGACCGAAAGATTGATCTTGTGGTTTTGGCAGACAATCTTTTACCATTCAAGTAAGCTCATGGTCCTGTTTAACTTTCAAGCAAGACAATGCAAGACCACATACTGCCCGTTTAACAGCCAATGTTCTACCTCACAACCAGGTTAACGTCTTGCCCTCCCCCCCCCCCCCCTTGTTTCCCTGGATATGAATCCCATTGAACATATCTGGGATGAATTTTGGCGGAGAGTGAAGACAAATCACCAGATAGACAACGTTAACGACCTCGCACGGTTACTGCAGGAGGAACCACGGACCCTGCCTAAAGTCTTAATCAGACGTTACGTTCACTCAATGAAGAGGAGAATTCTAGCGTGTATTGCCATTTCCTGGGGCCACACACGTTACTTAGTTGTTCTGATTTTCTCATTCCTGGATATTTTATTGGATCCCTAGGTCAGAATTTGTTAGTGTATTAATTGTTTCATATGGTTAGATCAACAAACATGTGAGTAATTTGAAGCAAAATCTCAAAGGAATAAAATGTAATCAGTTTCATCCGGATACCCCAATAGGAAATTGAAATGTACCCATTTTAGTCCATGTAAAGTTTTTTTTTTCATTAGAGTGTTTTTTCCCAAATCTTTAATTTACTTCTCACGACAAACAACTCACGTGACCCAAAGAAATTTCTGTTTTTTACCGATCGGAATTACCTGTTAGTTTCAATTTATAAATATAGTTTGGCAGTTTTATTTTTATTTTTATAATTATTGTTTCTTGTTATAAAATTATTGATAGTTTTGATTGATTGATTGATTGATTGATTGATTGATTGATTGATTGATTGATTGATTGATTGATCTTTCTTATTATTGTTTAATTAAAGACTTCAAAGCTATTGTGCATTTTATAAAATGAAAGTGACTTTTACCTTTAAGATGGCCTTTTATACAGAATATTATTTAAGATGTATTCAGTACAGTAATATTTAATCTCTACAGGTACTGCTGGCCGTTTTGGCCAGGCTATAATAGAAGATATTATAGAGGGAGACCACAATATAACTACGCAGAGGGTGGAATGTCTGCCACATATACAAAGGTATACGTATCGCGATTCATGTGTGAAATCACAAATGTGTTAAATATTATGAGGTAATAATATATTGTTGAGTACAATACTGAATTCTTTTGAAATAGTACACATATGTCGAAAACTTTATTGGACCGATATAAGGTTTTCAGCTGTGTACGAGTCCAATAGAATAAGTATTGTTCTCAACCCTGATGAATGATCATTTTTTTACATTATTTTGTTACTTCATTTTCTACACGGATTTGATGTTGATTTTGGATTCTTCAAAAAATAAATACTATGCTCATTGAGGTGCCATTGGATATGACTTGTTTGGACTCTAGAAATGTAAACGAGTCTAAATTGATAAGACTAGATTAAATGATGATTTCTGTTGAAACATCACAGTTATTGATACTGGCGGTAAGTTTGCTACATTTTAAAAGGTGTGAAATATAACTTTATTACTGTTCAGATACAAGATTTTATCAAAATATTTCCTAAAAATGAAATTTTAATTGAATGACTACCAATTTCGCGCAAAAAAAATAAATAATGACGTTATATAAATATATCCAACATAATTATTTCACCGTTTCTCGTTCAGATACTTCGAATATTTATAAATAGGCCTTCGTAATTGAATGATCGCATTTTATAACATTGTGTATAATTAAAATTTAATAAATGTTTTTTACAGTTGCAAAGATTTATCATAGTTTTAAACGAAATAATGAATGTAGGAGATGTAATACATATTAAAAATCCTATTTGATATACTAGTAACAGAAAAAATTAATCCATCATTCTATCTAAATGTATCATACCTTTGAAAGCCTTTTCCTATTACAGGATGGATTTGGGGACATTATTGGCGCTCCCGGGGCTGATGATTGGCGGGGTAAATATATATATATACTACATAAATTACAAATATCCAATAATATGTTCACAATAGTTTTTACAAAAGTTCTTTTTGCTTAAGTACAAAAAATGATCTGTTTTACAGTCTGCGAAATTAGCAGTGGCCCGAGGCCCCTAAAAACTTTGTATTTATTAAGTTCGGGCCAGTAAAGATTTCTCAAATGCCTTAGGATTTTATAATCAAGGGCCTGAATGGCCAGTTGGTAAAAAACCTAAATTCTTTGACTGGTTTATGCCAACCTTTCGGAAAAACGTGCAACATATTTTATATGCTATTATTTGACATATATAGGTAGGAGATTTCAATGTTTCAAAATTGGTTTGTTTGATAAGAGATGATCAAAAATAATCAGATAGACTTTATTGATCAATCATTGGCAGAGTATGGATACCACAGTTTCAACTTATCATCAATTTTAATCAATAACCAATTTGATCAATTTTCAATTCAATTTTAGAAATGATAATTGTTGAAACACTGAGAAATTTATTTGTACTTGTACAGTTTTTCATCATGAAGTATTTTTTATTTACCCAAAAATTCTGTGCCACTATCACAATAAAATGGTAATATTATGTGACCAGGCCCAGGCTTAGCCGCCCCCCCCCAATAATTTTGGCAATTATACTTTTTTAATAGTGATTTAAATATCGGCTCGATTTTAACGACAATTTTGGTAGTCTATAGCTATATAAGTAGCCACCCAGAATCTGAATACACTTCCTACGGGCCTGGTGACTACATTATCTAGTCATAGAGTGCACTCTATATTGTATTCGCCAAATACATAGTTAAGGAAATAAATAAAAAATCCCCCTTTATGGGCCGTAAAAACAACAACTGTTGAACTAAGACTAAAAATCCCTTTCAATTTTGTGTTAGTGCAGAATTAATTAGCTTCATTTTAGTATACTTACTTCTATCTTTCTTCTTTTTGATGCAATTGACTGGGCAGATTGTATCTTTTTCTCTGGCCTTTGGTGCTCAAAAATGCTTGGTAGAGCATTTCTTTTTAGTTGCGGTCTGAAAACGTCGCCACATCCAACACTTCTCAATACTGAAGGACTTTTTTCAAAGGCCGAATCCTCAAAGTGCTTAGAGTAAAGTCTGCTGTATATATTTGGTACATATACACGTCCTTTAAACTTTTCATCACTTCCCCCGAATCTTTCAGACCACGTCATCCTCAATGTCTTATTTGTGGGAAAGTTAAAAAAACTTACTTTCTCTCCCAGACCGAGAATAACACCCGAAAGCAGCACACACAACCATGGTGGCTGATCGTCAAAATATCGGAACAAATTATCAATTCCACGGACGATTTTTCACAGAATAATGTCACAATATTCACACACAGACACAAAATGTATAATCCTTGAAGAAAGTGATAAAAATAAACAAATATAAACGAAGAAAACTCAATTACAAAGCAACAAAAAGTGTATGGCATATACGCGCGTTATTATTGTTTAGACAGGAAGTGTTCACTAGTGACGTCACACGGTCGAATCGACAAGGGAGGTAATCAATGTAAGACTAGCCAGGGGATCATTTTTTTTACAAAAGTGCGATTTAAGTTACCAAAAAACGTTTTTCAGTGTGAAACAATGCTACTATCAGATTTTAATAATTCTTTAGAGCTTATTTATCACTTTTGAAAGGTTTTTCATTTTTTCACCAAATATGACCTTTAAAAGTCCTTACTAAGTCCTAACACATTTACTTTGGTAAATTGGCAAACTGTTTATCAGTCTTATCAGTCTAGTAAATATTGTAAATATGTGTAAATCGGCTGCACCATGCCTGACCAATTTAATTTTTTAAATACGTACTAATAAACTTAAACCCTGTCGTCGTCGAATAAAGGCAGGACATCAAATGACCAAATTACACAAGAAAATATAGACCTCATACGGACCTTTTGGCATGAAACGGGCCGAACTTGGGATACGTTGACTTGATGTTCTGGATGTCCACAGGTCCAAAGTAGCATGTGTGTTTATATTACTTCTACACTGTATGGCAAAATGAGCGCAACGAGTTTATGCGTTGATATAGTAAGACATATTCCTTTTATAACTTCATTCCAATGGCATAAATTAAGAGTTGCCAGCCGTAACTTGTAACAGTCCAAGCACTAAGCGAAAACCATAGTCTTTTGCATAATATATTAGCTGTTGACGTTTTTTAGCAGTTCGTTAATTTGTAACACTAATGAATGCCCATTCCAACGGTTACTCCGTTCTATTCTGGAAATACTGACAATGTCTTAAGATTTGTACTGATATTATTATAAATAATGAAATGGTGATAATTACTTAGTGTATGTTAAACAGTAATTTAAGACTCCTTGGGTCTGATGAGTTTGTGATGTTTATAATTTATGTGATTCGAAACACATGTGTAGGCTCACGAAAGCCTCGCAAATATAAAACTTTCTTACTTTCTAACTATATCATTTACTCATTTATCATTAAATTATGCACACCAATTATCCATTAATCGTTATTACACGTTTATTCGGCTAATTTGAGTAAGTGTTGCAACGCGTTTCATATTCTGGTCAATTTGCGTAATAAAATTGATTATCCATTGTAAGCAATTTGAGCGAATGGTCAGAAATTTTGCACACAGGTTATTGATTCAGACCTACATACAGTAAAATAAAAGTCTTAACAAATATTTTCGATCCATTCATGTCAAAAATCCTGTGTGAGATTATTTATCAATTATTAATTCATCAAGAACCAGACTGTGACTTATCATCACTTATTCATTATCCAGATTAATAAATTGTTCCTAAATCTTATTTTCAGGTGCGTTTAAATCGTATCAAAAGCAGTGGACGGCACGGCTGAGCTTTGATTACACACCACCCACGATGTATTTCGGTAGGTACTAAATAATTATCTTTGACTTGTTTGTATCGTTTTAAACTGAAATATCACAATATTAAGACTGTCGAAACCCACGTCAGATTGCTAGATTGAACACTTTTATAACAGACGTGATAAACGCTTTCCCCTTACAGTGAGTGGTGGGGCGGGTTCGATTCCGGCCAGGATTTTCGGAGATGAAGCTATCTATAGCTAGTTTATGGAAAAATAACCCATTATTCAGGACTTTGCATATTATTAAGTGTTTGTATACTTTTTCTAAAATCATATAAATTTCAAGTGATAACTACTTAATACAATTTTACTACTTTATGCTCATGCCTGGTAAGCAACAGATCTACCCTTTTTCGGAGATGTATGATTAATTGACCTATCCTTTAGCCAATTTTAGTGTCAACAAAATAAATGTGTTGTCATATTTTTATTTATTTATTTATTTATTTATTTACTTATTTGCGTTATATACGTTATACGACGGATGATCAAAAATTAACCGGACTTTGTAAATGATTCTTAACCTGTTAAATGAATTTACATAACAATACACGGAAAATAAATCGGAATCTATCCCCTAAATGATACAAAAAATACCAACAAGAAATATTTACAAAGAAAAAAGTTATGCTGTTATTGGCAAGCACATGTAAAGCAATGTGGCGCACGGTATCACATTGAAATTGACGTTAACGACGTCACAAGCGTATTGTCCTTAACGGAGCAGCTTTTAACTCATTCACGGAGTAGGCCAATACGTGGTACAGTCATCTTATTGATGCGGCGGATCCTCTGCTTATATATATTTCTGTACAAGTGGGTATCATATTGTATTGTAATAGAATGAATGGTGATAAAGAGCTCCTGTAATGACGCAAACTTCCGTTATTTCCTTCTGTAACTTGATTATTGAAAAAATCGCACAAGCAATTAACTATATTATGTATCAGAAATAATTATTAATCACCAATGACTTTATCGGTTGTTTAATATTATTCAAACGTATAGATAGTTGACATAAATAAAACATTTTACTTCAGGATATGCGTTGACTGTTGCAAATCTTTGGAAGGGTGAACTGGTTATATCTGGAGCCCCTAACTGGAATGATCCGAAAGGTACGGGACATTTCGGAAAGGTAACAAAACAAATGATTTTGTGTATGTGTGTGTAAATTTAGGGATAAATCCACTCCACTGGTACTTTACATCTGATTTATGTTTATTTAGCAATATCGTTTATAAATTATCAACTTGATTTATTAAATGTTTAAGACTGGATAACGTGGCAAATTTCGAACTAAATGATTATATTTGTTTTAATTGTCAGGTGTATCTGTATATTGGACAAGACCTAGAAAGTTATCTAGATTTTGGCATCACACGTGCTGTAAGTATTTTAATGCTTCATAATAAGATGGAATTGTATTTTATGTACATACTGGTGTGTACTTAGGCGTCATTTGAAATACACCAGTCTATGAAGTATCTAGTATATTTTATATATAAAAGCGTGCCTTGTCAGACAGCGCTCAGTCACTTATGTAATAATTGAAGTTTTCATTCATTTAAAATGAATATGCAATAGCACAACGAATGTTGTTTGGGGTTATACTGGTTTGAGGCAGTCCGTATATTTGGATGATTTGCCGTATGTGTGGCCCTTGCTTGTAGTGATATCTTTTATTTGCCCTTTTTATCACGTTCAGTCATAAAGTTTCAGTTTATCATTTTGAAAAACAAAGATTGTGCTATCGAAAATAAACAAATAAATAATTTCATTTATAATGTTACTACATTCTATCAATAAATATTATGATTTCATTCTGTTTCAACAAACAGGAATGTCCTGACCAAGATAACCTGAATTTAGGAGAATTGATTGACACAGAACAAACTGGTACCAAGTTTGGCGCAGCACTCGCTGCTGTTGACGTCACAGGTGACGGATATGACGAGCTGTTTGTTGGTGCCCCGTTCTACACTGGTGACAATCCGGAAGAGGGACGTGTGTTCGTTTACAGTTCCTCAAAAGTATGACCAATTGCAGAAATAAGTATTTAACAATGTCATTTTGCGGTTAATGTGGCTCAAAATTAAAAACATTCTTTACCTCATAGAAAAGGCCTCTGTGAACGTGGGATCAAATTCGCTGGCTTCTAATTAGTTTCCTTACCCTAGTTGCGTGTTCGATTCCCAGCTTAGGAATTTGAATTATTAGTGGTTCTACTTAGTAGCAAGCGCTTGAATGAAATGATGCAAAAGGAGCATTGCGTTTGTTTTCATGAAATGAAGTTTAATTTTGTGTCAAAACGCTTATTTGTAAAAAGACTTTTTAAACCTGAAAAGACTACGATGTGACTATAGAGATACGGTGTGACTATAGAGATACCGGTAACATTAGTCCCCTTTTGAGCAAATTGTAGGTCATTAAACATTTAACAACTGAACTTAAAACTTCAAATGTCAAGGTCACCATTGATCTTCCGAATTGAAATGTTTTATGAGCATTTATAATTTGAATCTTGGAACATTCATGTAAGGTATTTGTTTTCTGTAAAACTAATTAAATTGTGTAGATTTTCTTAACGTCTCCCGATGTACTTAATACATGGATATTTATTGCTTTCAAATTTGCACCTCTAGGTCCAAAAATCATTTGAGATCACTCCACAGTGTTAACTTTGTTGTGGCTCTTCAGTTAGCAAGAAGCTCTTTTTCTCATATGGAATATGTTTTAAGGACTATTTTTTCTTTCACTCAGGCAAATCAATGAAACAATATATTAAAATAATCCTAGGTACTCAAATCACGCTCAATTGACATTTCTAAAGTCCCAACTTGAATTTCTATTTATTTTTTTATTTTCTATTTGAGTTTGAATTATAAATATATTTATATAATGTCGAACGAAATTTAGACGCCGACAGAAAAACAGAGTAGTTTTTAAACAAGCCATGTGACTTGACCAAACTGAAAGTTGCAATAACAGATATTGCGGATATTGTATGATTAAAACAAGTCTAAGCCATTCATTTGACTTTGTTTTTTTAACTTTTCAAGATTTAACTGTGACAACTATTGTGAAATCTGAACGCTCTAACCTGACCAACGTGGGTCAAGTTAGGAAACCGCCATTTTACTCTTCATAAGGTGAAAAGTTTTGTTCCCGTGACTGCCTAGTGTATTCATTTTGAGGACAGTAACAGAATAATGAATGAAAAATTCGAATGGAAGAAATGAAAATTTTGCCTGTGTCTCCTTTAATAAGCTCACCAGAACCGAGGATTCAGGGTGAGTTATAAGGCTCAAAGGGGGGTGATCCTGCGGGGCGATTTACTTCAAATTTAGTCTATAGCATCCTTGTGACAGTCACACATACATTTTCATTTCAATTGGCCCCTTTTAAGGGTCAACAGAGCTAAAAATAGAAAAACCTTTAAACATTTTCTACTACAGAACTAATTGATGGTTAATCACCAAACTTTGTCTGTAGCATTCTTAGGAAGTATTTTATCTAGTTTGCTCCTATAAATTTGATTGGCCCCTTTTAGGGGTGTCTATGGGTAAAAATAGAAAAAAAAACATTTAGACATCTTTTTCAACAGAACTAATGGATGGATGATCACCAAATTTTCTCTGTAGTATTCTTGGGTAGTTTTTGTTATCAAGTTTGCTCATATTAATTTGATTGCCTTCTTTGGGGGCCGCTAAAACTAAAAAATAGAAATACATTTAAACGTCTATTTCTACAGAACTAATCGATGGATGATTACCAAACTTTGTCTGTAGCACTCTTAGATAGTCTTTTATCAAGTTTGCTCATATTAATTTAATTGGCCACTTTTAGGTGACGCTAAAGTTAAAAATAGAAATACATTTAAACATCTACTTATACAGAAATAATTGATGGATGATCACCAAACTTTGTTTGTATTATTCTTGGGAAGTCTTTTATCAAGTTTGCTCATATAAATTTGATTGGCACCTTTTTAGGGCTGCTATAGCTAAATATAAAAAAAACTTTGAACATCTTTTCCTACTGAAATAATTGATAGATGGTCATCATTTGTCTGTAGCATTCTTGGGTAGACTTTTATCAAGTTTGCTCATACTAATTTGATTGGCCCCGTTTAGGCTAAATATAGAAATACCTTTGAACATCATTTTCTACTGAAATAATTGAAAGATGATTACCAAACTTAGTCGGCAACATTCTTAGGTAGTCTTTTATCAAGTTTGCTTATATTAATTTGATTGTCACCTTTAAGGGGCCGCTAAAGCTAAAAAAGAAATACGTTTAAATGTCTCCTTCTACAGAACTAATGGATGGATGATCACCAAATTTTGTTTGTAGCATTCTTAGGTAGTCTTTTATCAAGTCCGCTCATATTTATTTGATTGGCCCCTTTTATTGGCCACTAAAGCTAAAAAATAGAAAATAAAATGAACACCATCTCCTACTGAAATAATGGATAGATGATCACCTACTTTGTCTGAAGCTTTCTTAGGTAGTGTTTTATCAAGTTTGCTCATATTAATTTGATTGGCCCCGTTTAAGCTAATGCTTAAATGCCCCACCTCATGGCATTTCTTCACAATATTGTTTAAAAGTATGCTATGCTCAAATTTAATATAAGAAAATATTGACAATGGATAATATCGTACACTGAAAACCAGTTGTTTCTGGTGAGCTACTCAGGACCATCATGGCCCTCTTGTTCGTAGACCGATCCAGCGAACGTGTTTTGCTCTTCCTTTACATTATTTTGTTCTCATGACAAATACCTTAAATGCCAATATAATAATTTAACAGTGAACTGTAACTTGTTAGACAATTTTCGGTGAGCCAAATGATTATTGTTCTGTTTTTTCCAGGACACCGGTATTTGTGGTCCAATAGGAATACTTTCAGGTGGTGTAAATGTACCTTCATTAAAGGATAAATCTTCTTTTGCTCGGTTTGGTGCAGCAATCGCATCCATTGGTGACCTTGACATTGACGGCTATAATGGTAACTTTAGATTTTATTTTTTGAAATATTTGTTTTCGATAGTTATTTCTGAACGAAAAAATAACGCTGAAATTGTTTTCAGTAGTTTGGCCTTATTACCAGATATAGTTTGGGTATGAAGGGGTACTAAGGTCGTATGTAGGTAAGGGGGTAGGTAGGGTGGTAGGTTGGTGAAAGAGTGGAAGGGTAGGTTTTGGATCGGTTGGTCGGACGTGAGCGCATGCGGCTTAATGGGTGGGGGGGGTAAAGAAGTTAGGCTGAGCTATACTTAGGAGTGTAAGAATGATGGAAATAATGTAAATATATATGTTTTCTTAGAAAGGGCTCTGTTTTGAATTTAAAACCTCCAAATTTTAGTTTGAGGAATTTATATGTCAAACTATTAAGAGTTTGCTGCCAAATTTCATTTAAAGTGATCACTTTAACAACTGTTAGGGTTTTTATCATCTTAAGAATTTAAGATAAAACATGCTATTATGAGGTTAAAAGGGGACACAATTTCAAAATATGTGAGAGAAAAAAAATCAATTTATATTAATGAAAACACTCAGTACCTACATATGTACGTCATGAACTTTACTTTACAGATGTAGCTATCGGAGCACCCTACGAAGATGATGGAACCGGTGCCATATATATCTATCCAGGAATTGGAAAATCTAAATGCGAAATGAAGGACCCTTTCACCCAAAGAATAGCTGGTACATTACACAATCATTCTTGATATCATTCTTAAAATACTGGTGCACATTTATTTTCTTATATCAATTATTCTTGATAAAGACGCCATCATTTATAACACCGACTTACGACTTTATACATATAAAAATAGAAAAAAAAATAAACATCTTCTCCTACAAAACTAATTGCTGGATGATCACCAAACTTTGTCTGTAGCATTTTCAGGTAGTGTTTTATCAAGTTTGCTCAAATTAATTTGATTGGCCCCTTTTAGGGGCCGCTTAAGCTGAAAATAGAAATACCGTTAAATGTCTGTTTCTAGAGAAATAATTGATCGATGATCAGCAAACTTTGTCTGTAGCATTCTTGGGTAGTCAGTTATCAAGTTTGCTAATGTTATTTTGATTAGCCCCTTTAAGAGGTCTCTAAGGCTTAAATAGAAAAACCTTTTTACATCTTCTCCTACAGAAGTAATTAATAGAAGATCACCAAACTTTGTAGGTAGCATTATCAGGTAATGTTTTATCAAGTTTGCTCATATAAATTTGATTGTCCCCTTTTAGGGGCCATTTAAGCTAAAAATAGAAATACCTTTAAATGTCTATTTCTAGAGAACTAATTGATGGATTATCACCAAACTTTGTCTGTAGCATTCTTGGGCAGTCTGTTATCAAGTTTGCTCATATAAATTTGATTTGCCCCTTTGGGGCAGCTTAAGCTAAAAATAGAAATACCTTTAAATGTCTATTTTCTACAAAACTAATGGATGGATGATCACCAAACTTTGTCTGTAGCATTGTTGGGAAGTCTTTTATCAAGTTTGCTAATATTATTTTGCGTGGCCCCCTTTAGGGCTACAAAAGCTAAAAATAGAAATACTTTTAAATGTCTATTTCTACAGAACTAATTAATGGGTGATCACCAAACTTTGTCTGTAGCATTCTTTGGTAGTCTTTAATCAAGTTTGTTCATAATAATTTTATTGGCACCTTTTAGGGGTATCTATATCTAAAAATAAAAAAAAACCTTTAGATATCTTCTTGTACAGAACTAACTGATGGATGATCACCAAACTTTGTCTGTAGCATTCTTGGATAGTCTTTTATCAAGTTTGTTCATATTATTTTGATTGCCTTTAAAGGGATACACGGGCAAAATAATGACAAAAATACAAAAATGATCTTCTGTACTCAAATCACCCTAAAATGACTTTTCCTAAAGTCCCAGCATGAATTTCTGTATAGATTTTATATATTTTGGGTTTGAAGCTTAAATATATTTATATATGTTGAACAAAATTTGGTCACAAACAGAATCACCGAATAGTTTAAAAACAAGTCATGTGATTTGAACAAACCCTGTGTGAGCCGCTAAAATTTAAAATAGAAATAAGTTTAAATGTCTATTGCTACAGAACTAATAAGTGGATGATCACCAAACTTTGTAGGTAGTATTCTCAGGTAATGTTTTATCAAGTTTGCTCATATAAATTTGATTGTCCCCTTTTAGGGGCCATTTAAACTAAAAATAGAAATACCTTTAAATGTCTGTTTCTAGAGAACTAATTGATGGATGATCACAAAACTTTGTCTGTAGCATTCCTGGGTAGTCTTTTATCAAGTTTGCTCATATTAATTTGATTGGCCCCTTTAAGGGGCCATTTAAGCTAAAACTAGAAAAACCTTAAAACATCTTCTACTACAGAACTAGTGGATGGATGATCACCAAACTTTGTCTGTAACATTATTTGGAAGTCTTTTATCAAGTTTGCTTATATTAATTTGATTAGCCTCTTTTAGGTGCCGCTATAATTAAAAATAGAAATATGTTTAAACATCTTCTCCTTCAGAACTAATTGCTGGATTATCACCAAACTTTGTCTGTAGCATTTTGTGTAATCTTTTATCAAGTTTGCTCACATAAATTTGATTAGCCTCTTTTAGGGGCCACTTAAGCAAAAAATAGAGAAAAAAACCTTCGATCACCATTTCCTACTGAAATAATTGATGATCACCAAACTTCGTAGCGTTCTTAGGTAGTCTTTTATCAATTTTGCACTTATTAATTTGATTAGCCCCGTTTAAGACAAAACTAAAATGCTCCATGTCATGGCATTTCTTCAAATTGATGTTTTAACATATTCTATGCTAAAATTTAATATTAGAAAATATTGACATTCCAACACTGAAGAACAGTTGTTTCTGGTGAGCGACTCAGTGCCATAATGGCCCTTGTTTTATTTATTTTATTTATTTATTTTTTGGGGAGTGGGGGGCGGCATTGCGAAATTAAAATGCCTAGTCTTGGAAAACGCCTACTCTTGAAAAACGTAGTGAGATGGCAAAGTATTCAACTAAAATGGTAACTCAGGCTATTTATTCGCAACAGAAACTATAACCAGAGCTATTTATCAGCATCGGTAACTAAAATTTAGGTTATTAATCTGTATAGGTTACTATATCTAAGGCTGTTTATTAGTATCTGTAACAGTTATCAATATCAGGCTTTTTATCTGTATCAGTAATTATAACCTATGCTATGTATCAGTATCGGTAACTCTGACCCTGGCTATTTATCAGCATTGGTAAAAATATCCAAGGACAATTATCAGTACCGGTAACTATAAACCAGGCTATTAGTATTGGTATATATAACCCATTCTATTTAACAGTATCAGTAGCTAAAACCCAGGCTATATATATATATATCATTATTGCTAACTATAACCCGGGCTCTTTATCGATATCGGCAACTATATCCAAGGCTTGTTATAAGTATCGGTAATTTTACACTGGCCATAATCAGTATCGGTAACTATAACCCAGGTTATTTATCAGTATCATTGACTATAACCGGAATTTTTAACAGTGTCAGTATCTATAACCCTGGCTATTGATCTGCATCGGTAACTGTTATCCATGGTATTTACATGTATCAGTTACTCTGACTGGCTTGGGCGACATCAAGGGGTGTTTCTGCTAAAAGAAATGTCGAGGCCGACAGGCCCAGACAATGTTTTGCAGAAACATCCCGTGATATTGCCCCAGCCAGTGTTATATCCCCGTAACTAACTCGTTTCATACACTTACTGTTTTATCGCATTTTCCTTTTATTTTGTAATTAAAATTAGAATAAAACTAGAACTGCCACTATCATGGCGTGAATACCCCCGCATACCACTTTGTCAGAATCAACAGTGGCCATTTAGAGCTCAAGGACAACCTCCCTGCCAAATCTGACGTTACTAAGCCAGTGCATTGCTAAGTTATGTATTCTACATGCTTCAAATGTGAAAATGTCAAAATCAATACATTGCGGACAGGACATTCTTTAGCAATTGAGAAGAAAAGCTTTTTTTGTCAAGGTCCCTGTGACCTTGACCTTTGACCCAGTGACCTCAAAATCAATAGGGGTCACCTTATAGTCATGATCAACATCCATGCCAAATATGAAGACTGTGGGTCAAAGGAATCTTAAGTTAATGGGTGGACAAACTTTTTGAAGTCAAAGTCCCTATGACCTTGACCTTTGATCCAGTGACCTCAAAATCAAAAGGGGTCATCTACTAATCATGATCAACATCCATGCCAAATATGAAGACTGTGGGTCAAAAAGAGGATCTAAAGTTATTGGGCAGACAAACTTTTTGAAGTCAAAGTCCCTGTGACCTTTGACCTGGTGACCTCAAAATCAATAGGGGTCATCTACTAATCATGACTAACCTCCATTCCAAATATGAAGACTGTGGGTCAAAGGAATCTTAAGTTATTGGGCGGAGAAGCTTTTTGAAGTCAAGGCCCCTGTGACCTTGACCTTTGACCTGGTGACCTCAAAATCAATAGGGGTCATCTACTAATCATGACTAACCTCCATGCCAAATATGAAGACTAAGGGTTAAAGAATCTAAGTTATTGGCGGACAAGCTTTTAGAAAGTCATGGCCCCTGTGACCTTGACCTTTGACCTGGTGACCTCAAAGTCAATAGGGGTCAACTACTAATCATGACTAACCCCCATGCCAAATATGAAGACTGTGGGTCAAAGGAATCTTAAGTTATTGGGCGGAGAAGCTTTTTGAAGTCAAGGCCCCTGTGACCTTGACCTTTGACCTGGTGACCTCAAAATCAATAGGGGTCATCTACTAATCATGACTAACCTCCATGCCAAATATGAAGACTAAGGGTTAAAGAATCTAAGTTATTGGGCGGACAAGCTTTTAGAAGTCATGGCCCCTGTGACCTTGACCTTTGACCTGGTGACCTCAAAGTCAATAGGGGTCAACTACTAATCATGACTAACCTCCATGCCAAATATGAAGACTGTGGATCAAAGGAATCTTAAGTTATTGGGCGGACAAGCTTTTTGAAGTCAAGGCCCCTGTGACCTTGACCTTTGACCTGGTGACCTCAAAGTCAATAGGGGTCATCTACTAATCATGACTAACCTCAATACCAAATATGAAGACTATGGGTCAAAGGAATCTTAAGTAATTGGGCGGACAAGCTTTTTTGAAGTCAAGGCCCTCTGTGACCTTTACCTTTGACCTGGTGACCTCAAAATCAATAGGGTCATCTACCAATCATGACTAACCTCCATGCCAAATATGAAGACTATGGGTCAAAGGAGGATCTTAAATTATTGGGCGGACAAGCTTTTTGAAGTCAATGCCCCTATGACCTTGACCTTTGACCTGGTGACCTCAAAATCAATAGGGGTCATCTACTGATCATGACTAACCTCCATGCCAAATATGAAGACTAAGGGTCAAAGGAATCTTAAGTTATTGGGCGGACAAGCTTTTTGAAGTCAAGGCCCGTGTGACCTTGACCTTTGACCTAGTGACCTCAAAATCAATAGGGGTCATCTACTAATCATGACTAACCTCCATGCCAAATATGAAGACTGTAGGTCAAAGGAATCTTAAGTTATTGGGCGGACAAGAAAAAACCGACGGACGGCCGGCCGGACGGACGGCCGGCCGGACGGACGAACGGACAAGCTGATTCCAGTATACCCCCCTTACAACTTTGTTGTGCGGGGGTATAAATATAAAAAACGTGCATATCTCTCTCTTGTGCCCTTTCACTTTTTCACCTTCTCACTCCCAGATAAAATAAACCAATACCAGCTAATGAAGTCGTAAGCTACCTTACAGATATATTATTTTATTGAAAATTTAAAACAACGTCCATTGTTAGAGACAGATTGTAACCTGATAGTTTGCGGAGAAAGTAAATCGGATTCAAGATTTATTCAGCGGATGTACCTTTTGATTCCAGCAGTTGCAGTTGCATAATTATATGAGAAGAAATTCATTTCATTAATTTTCTTCTTACTTATTATTGTTATTATTATTATTATTATTATTATTATTATTATTATTATTATTATTATTATTATTATTATATGTTTGTTACCGCTGCCTCATTGGAGCCTCAGAGAAAAAACTACACTTAAATATACAAGGTGCGAAACAAACTCTTTTTTTCCTATATGAATCAATGAAATCAAAGCACAGAAGGCGCTGAATTTGTTTTGGTCTCAGAATGTCAGAAAGGTGAAGGTTGTTAGATTATAAACCAGTTTGTTTTTGTAAAGTGCCACCAATTTTTTCCAGTGGCTGCAACACTGATAGTCAATTAATTGTTTATTTTTAAAAAATGAGTTGCCTCAACTGGGATTTGAACTCCAGACCTCTCGATTCATAAGCGAGCGTGCAAAACCCTCGGCCACGGTGAAGTTATATGTTATCGGCCTGAAGGAAACCATATAACTCTAAATTAGGGTTTGTAACTCTTATTATTTCGACGCTAAACCTGTTGTTTAACACAGATGTAAATAATCATGGAGCTTACTGTAAGCATGTATATCTATGAAGAATGAAACAATATTAGAAATCTTCGACCATTCGGTGAAGTACTTTGCTTGAAAATTAATGCGCCTGTCATTTGACAATCTTTACGCATTGATCTCCCCTGAATTTTTCGGCGTTGGTGTACATATAAAGTGAAGTAACCGCTTCAAAAAGGTGGACTACCTTAGGCATTTGCAATTAATAGCATTAGACTCTGAAATTTCGCTACCATTATTTGTTTGGTCTGACGACCCAAACAAATAAAAACTGTACTGCTATACATCAATACAGTTTTCAAATGCTCATTGAAAGTGTACTGAATATAATGGGTTAGTAAGAACAAAGAAAAAGCTCCAAACCATGCGATAAATTTATAAAATCATTGCCTTGAAACACAAAGAATCCTTACTTACATGTCTCTTACGACGTCAGAATTACAACATCGGCTATGAAATTACCGTATCTTTATCCATTCACTACAATTACTTTGTGAAATTTAAAATCGTCAACTAAACACGGCTTAGTTGAAAATGTAATAAATCTGTAAAGCACTTTCTATACCTAACTGAAAGATCCCACATGGGTTTGACACGCAACTCCATAACCTAATTTTCACAAAATAAACATAATCGACGTCTGATAATAGAACAAGAGTAGTGTCATTACCTTGCTATGTGAAATAAACATCATTTAATGTTAATTTCAGACTATCAATAACATGAGGTCAAAAATACGTCAATTAAAATGCTACATTTCAGAAAAAGTGTTAGCCATTTTATTTATGTATATTGATTATCTTTTATGTTTGGTTTTGTACTGCTGTGCTAGAAATAATTGCAGAATACATACCTCAGGATTGTATTATGTATGATGTACTTTAATTTGGATTAACAGGTCGTGATCTTGACATAGGTTTACGATCGTTTGGCTGGAGCATGTACGGTGATGAAGATATTGATGACAATTCTTTCCCAGGTATCTTTAACCTATATAATATTATACTGTCTAGGAATTGTATTTTGTATTATTTTAATACCACAAAATTCGTAATTTTTGTTTCTGTGTTGGTGTTTGTGCTTTAAGTTAAACTTGCCGCTGGTACTTGAGATGATTTAACCTTGACCTCTCCGCGATGTGCACGCCTTGGAAAGGATTTGATTTTATTTCAACACATTCTTATACACCTTGTGACTAAGATACATCTTGTCATGTTTCTTCATGCGAGATAGATATAGATAAACTATCTTTAAAAACTTTTTTCTTCTTCTTTAACTTTCTTGGAAAAAGTATATACCGCAGCCTACATGGCTTTTATAAAAGCTACGCCACTGATTTTATTAATGTTCTTCCTTAGTTATTTGAGATATGAATAGTATGCAAAGATATTAAAAAAGCTATTAATTGAAGCTAACAAATATAACAGTATTTTTTTCTTGTCAACAGATTTGGCTGTTGGAGCGTATGAGTCAGACACTGTGTTGGTGTTCAGAGCGAGGCCATTAGTCAATGTTATCATTGAAATTGAAATGACTCCAAATCCAATTCCTTTAATTGGTTCCCTTTTACCCTGTTCCACCGATAATAAAACTCTCTGCTTCACTGTTAAAGTCAAGTTCCGTTTTGTCTATGTCGGGAGTAGGAAAGGAAAAGTGGACAATGTCTGTAAGTTCATCAAACATATCAGTTTTATATTAAGGCGAATTGGTCTATAATGGAAGGTATGTAATCCAATAAATAATTACGTTGAAAGTATTAAGTATCACACATAACAACATACTACGAAATAATATATATGTATGGTGTTGATGCATGTTCTGAATTAACATATATCTATAAAGCAAATGATAAAGAGCAAAATATTTTCTATACATCATAAAAATGTTCATATTTTACTCATAGAACATTTTTCTTTGAAACAATATTTTATAAGAATATGCAATTGATTACATTTGATCTTTTTACTTCATTGGCAAAAGGAAAAAAGAGGTTAGGAAGCCGAGTAAGTAAGCTTTGTATTTAAACATTTTTTTTAATTTTTTGGCAGACCTTAATTGGACACTCGATTCTGACACTTTACATAAGAGCATGGAAGGATGGAGTAGGGTTTCATTTAGATCTTTTGATAAACATGACATTATTACTGAGAACATTACACTCTCTGGACCCAGCGTACAAAATAAAACATATATAATGGACGTGAAGGTAATGTATTTATTTAAATCAAAATATTATATATCTCTGTTTCCCTTATGAGGCGATTGCTTTATAATCGCTTAAACATTGATTACTATATATTTTGCTTTATCCGCCTAGCATGTAAGTGTAAAGGAAATTTTTGAGGATATGTTATTTTTAAAGCATACTTTAAGAAATATGAACACTGAAAATTTGTCTCAACCTTCCTTCAATCTCTGTCATGACTGGTGTGTTTGATATATAAAATCATTTAAAGGGCAGTTTAGCAGCTGTAAAGACTAATTTTGTACTATTAATTGTGTTATATTTTTTCTAGTCCTTCATGAAAAAATCATCGCAGAGAGTAAAGTTGGAAAACAGAACTTCTTTTCTCCCTTTAAAGTCGATGCTAGTGGGCTTGACATATGTGACATTTTGAATTATATTATACGCCATGTTCAGTCAAATCGAGAAGAATACACTTTTGATCTTTTCAACATTTTTTTTTCTTTTTACCCTTTCCTTTTTCTGGATTTTTTTATCCTTATACACATTGGTACACTTATAATATCATAATATGTATATACAGTTTGAAATGTGTCGTTTTTGTGTCGCTTCTACGGAGTAGTGGCGACATATAGGGATCACTTCTTCGTTGTCTGTCTGTCTGTCCGTCCGTCACAAAACTTCTCCGGACTACTCCTCATAAACTACTTGTGCAATTTCATCCAAACTTTACAGGAATGATCAGTACCAAGTCTAGTTGTGCATATTTTCACTATTTTACAGTTCAATGATTTTTGTCAGAGTTATGGCCCTTTTATTATTTTTATTTTTAAAGTTTGTCCAGACTACTTCTCTTATACCAATAATGCAATTTTTATGAAACTTTACAGGATTGATCTGTAGCCCAAGTCCTTGCGCATATTGCACGGGTTTTCCGGTTGAATGATTTTTGGCCGAGTTATGGCCCTTTGATAAAAAGGTGTTTTTTTCTGTGTCTTGCCAGATATACCGGACTACTCCTCATAAACTACAGGTGTAATTTTACCCAAACTTCACAGGAATGATCAGTACCAAGTTTAGTTGTGCATATTGTCAGCATTTTCCGGTTCATTGATTTTTGTCAGAGTTATGGCCCTTTTATAATTTTTATTTTTAAAGTTTGTCCGGACTACTTCTCTTTTACATCTAATGCAATTTCAATCAAATTTTACAGGATTGATCTGTAGCTCAAGTCCTTGCGCATATTGCACGGGTTTTTGGGTTGAATGATTTTTGGCCGAGTTATGGCCCTTTGATAAAAAGGTGTTTTTTTCTGTGTCTTGCCATATACACAAAAGCTTGTCCACTACTCCTCATAAACTACTGTTGCAATTTTATCCAAACTTTACAGGAATGATAAGTACCAGATTTAGTTGTGCATATTGTCTGCATTTTCCTGTTTATTGATTTTTGTCAGAGTTATGGCCCTTTAATAATTTTTATTTTTTTTAAGTTTGTCCGGACTACGTCAGTTGAATTACTAATGCAATATCAATGAAACTTAACAGGATTGATCTGTAGCTTAAGTCCTTGCGCATATTGCACGGGTTTTCCGGTTGATGATTTTTGGCCGAGTTATGGCCATTTGATATAAAGGTGTTTTTTTCTGTGTCTTGCCAGATACACCGGACTACTCCTCATAAACTACAGGTGTAATTTTATCCAAACTTTACAGGAATGATCAGTACCAAGTTAAGTTGTGCATATTGTCAGCATTTTCCGGTTCATTGATTTTTGTCAGAGTTATGGCCCTTTTATAATTTTTATTTTTAAAGTTTGTCCGGACTACTTCTCTTTTATATCTAATGCAATTTCAATCAAATTTTACAGGATTGATTTGTAGCTCAAGTCCTTACGCATATTGCACGGGTTTTTGGGTTGAATGATTTTTGGCCGAGTTATGGCCCTTTGATAAAAAGGTGTTTTTTTCTGTGTCTTGCCAGATACACAAAAGCTTGTCCAGACTACTCCTCATAAACTACTGGTGCAATTTTATCCAAACTTTACAGGAATGATAAGTACCAGATTTAGTTGTGCATATTGTCTGCATTTTCCTGTTTAATGATTTTTGTCAGAGTTATGGCCCTTTAATAATTTTTATTTTTTTAAGTTTGTCCGGACTACGTCAGTTGAATTACTAATGCAATATCAATGAAACTTAACAGGATTGATCTGTAGCTTAAGTCCTTGCGCATATTGCACGGGTTTTCCGGTTGAATGATTTTTGGCCGAGTTATGGCCATTTGATATAAAGGTGTTTTTTTCTGTGTCTTGCCAGATACACAAAAGCTTGTCCGGACTACTCCTCATAAACTACTGGTGCAATTTTGTCCAAACTTTACAGGAATGGTCAGTACAAAGTCTAGTTGTGCACTGTCCGTCTGTCTGTCTGTCTGTCTGTCTGTCTGTCTGTCACAAAACTTGACCCAACATGAAATTGGCCATTATGAGGCGACACATGAGATCACGGATCGCTCTTGTTTATTATACCGAACAGTTAAAGGTAATTTTTCACCGAATTCCGATAGTTATTTGGCATCGTGTTTTACCAGTGTAGAATACCTTATAGTGCTGTATTGTGTAATTGTAAAACAAAATTTCTTCATGAAATAAAAAAGGCATGTATCTATAAATGGAGAGTGTCCTTTATCAAATGTGCTGTATTTGGACAGAAATCCAATAATTATATTTATATCCAGGGGTATAGAGGGAAACCGGAACCGAAAGATGCCTGGACAAAAATTCGTATGGAAGGGCGTTTTGAGCTAATACCTTCTAATGAAGACAATTTTGATGTCCTTGAACCGATCCTTTCCAAAGACGTTAATGCGCTGATCATTGAAGATGTAAACGTTTACGTTGTTACTTAATCATTCATGTTCTTTAATCGTGAAGGCACTAAGAAACTATATCTGATAGAGAAAGGATTTAAGTACCTTTCATTTTATTTACATCTTGTATCTTTTTAAAATGCATATTTGTTTCTTTGAACCAGGGTCATTGCAAAAAAATGACACGTTTACTATTTCATTTTTGTTTCATTTTACAAGAGGTCTACATTGTAAAGATCATATTACAATTTTGCAGCTTTACCGATGGCGGAAGACCTCAAGTGACCCTCCGTGCTTTTTTTCAGGCATGAACCGGTACTTGAGTAGAACCATCGGCGTTTCGTAAGCTAGCTGGATAGCTTTCATCACATGAAAAAAAAATATCAAAAGTTCCTTGCGCGATTCAAACCCACAGCGGTGACAAGAGGTTTCAATTCAGCGACCTTAACCACTTTGCATTGGATGCCCAAGAGCATTTACTAAAAAATTAACATTTATATCGAAAGTTTAGATGATGGATATTTTAAGGTTTATTTGGATCAATTTGTGGATTCAAATAATTTCCTTTGGTTAAGAATATCAAGCCACTGAATTGGCAATGGAAAGGTCATTACTTTAAGATTCTTTAAAAATCAATTGCTTGGTTAATTCATGTATAATGACCCTTATACTTTGCGGTACAAATGTCTTTTATTGGTATAAACGATGTTAAATGTCTTTAAAGTAGACCTGTTTTGTCCGTATATGTACAAATCCTTATTTTATTTACAATTAATTTTATCTTATGGTAATTTTAAAGACTGAATTTGACAAGAAATGTGATAATATCAACACATGTTCTTCCGACCTGAGACTTCAAGTAGAGATGTTTCTGCTCATGGATGGCGTTGTACCTACACATGTCCATGATAATACTGTTTTATACGTTGATGCAGCTAACATGTTACAGGTGAGCATTTATTTCTCGTCTTATATGAAGTGTGGTCATATATCTATATATTTATAAATATTGTGACAGATTGTGTTCTTATATATGCATTGTGAGAGATTGTGGTTTCAATATGCGTTCTGAGGAAAGTTGTCCTACATATGCATTGTGAGTGATTTTGGTCTTATATATGCATTGTGAAAGAATGTTGTAGTACATATGCATTGTGAGAGATTTTGGTCTCATATATGCATTGTGAAAGAATGTTGTACTACATATGCATTGTGAGAGATTGTGGTCTTATATTTGCATTATGAAAGAAAGTGGTACTACACATGCATTGTGAGAGATTTTGGTCTTATATATGTATTGTGAAAGAATGTTGTACTACATATGCATTGTGAGCGATTGTGGTATTTTATATACATATTTAAAGATTGTGGTTCTAGATGCATTGTGAGAGATTGTGGTCCTATCTAAGCATTGTTACAAATTGTGATCTAATATAATAATAATTACCATTGTTTTGCAAATTTATTCCCCTTTTTGTCAATGTTGCTTTTATTTAACTATCGAGCACTGAGAAAAGTTGAGTGCGCTGTCCGCGTACATGTCTTGTTTACTAACAATTTAGTCCATTTATAAATACAGTTACATTGTATAACCATTCTTTATTTTGTATTTTTCGTAATGGTTAATATGATAAACTACAACCAACAATTGCAGGTAACGGCTGACGTACTGAATCTTTTGAATTCATCTTACACTGCTAAAGTTAGTGGAGAGGTTTCGACATTGATGAAAAGAGATGTATTGTAAGTAAAGAAGAAAATATTGTTGCCGTAAAAAATTTGTTTACTAACTCGTATTGTGTACCAAAATTAAAGTAACATTATGTTCATTATGGGGGATATAGTGAGTGAACATTAAGAAAGTCTTAAATCGTTTACATTTTGCCATAATTCCTTTCATTTTCATCATTATTTTTGCATAAACGATGATATAAACAACTCACATGGCCTACTCAAATTTCAGAAAATATCCATCGGTATTTACCCGTAACATTCAATTTATAAAAAGAGTGGAGTAGTTTTTTTATACTTCATCCTATTTAGTAAACATTTTTCTACATCAACTGTTGGTCAATCGCTTTTATAGCAGTCAATAATTTGAAATATATAGACAAATTTAAATCAAACTTGACAATGAAGAAAAATAGCATAGCGTCAGTTTTATTAAAAACTAGAGGATGCTTTTGTAAAAAATGTCTCCCCCACTGCTGAGAATAACTGTGAATGGAAACAGGAATGGAAATGGAGATAAGATAATGTAAATACCCGGTAGTCACTTCAATGAAGGCTGTCTATGGAGAAAATGACCAATGGTCACTGTGACCTTAAGCTTTGACCTACTGACCCCATAAACAAGAGGGATCATCTGCTCAATAAGACCAATCATCCTATGAAGTTTGAGGGTTGTAGGTCTAAAGGAACTCTAGTTATCATCCGGAAAGGAGAAATTAACCAACGGTCGCTGTGACCTTGACCTTTGACCTACTGACCATTAAAACAATAGGGATCATTTGATTAATAAGACCAATCATCCTATGAAGTTTGAGGGTTGTAGGTCAAAAGGAACTCTAGTTATCATCCGGAAATGAGAAATTGACCAACGGTCACTGTGACCTTGACCTTTGACCTACTGACCCCAAAAACAATAGGGATCATCTGCTCTATAAGACCAATCATCCTATGAAGTTTGAGGGCTGTAGGTCAAAAGGAACTCTAGTTATCATCCGGAAACGAGAAATTGACCAACGGTCACTGTGACCTTGACCTTTGAACTACTGACCCCAAAACAATAGGGATCATCTGCTCAATAAGACCAATCATCCTATGAAGTTTGAGGTCTGTAGGTCTAAAGGAACTCTAGTTATCATCCGGAAACGAGAAATTGACCAACGGTCAGTGTGACCTTGACCTTTGACCTACTGACCCCAAAAACAATAGGGATCATCAGCTCTATAAGACCAATCATCCTATGAAGTTTGAGGGCTGTAGGTCAAAAGGAACTCTAGTTATCATCCGGAAACGAGAAATTGACCAACGGTCACTGTGACCTTGACCTTTGAACTACTGACCCCAAAAACAATAGGGATCATCTGCTCAATAAGACCATTCATCCTATGAAGTTTGAGAGCTGTAGGTCAAAAGGAACTCTAGTTATCGTCCGGAAACGAAGAATGGACGGACGGACTGACGGACGGACGGACTGACGGACGGACAGGGCAAAAACAATATGTCTCCCCCCGAGGTGGGGGGAGACATAATTAATTAATAAAATAGGAAAATGAAAGCCTGTTAATATACTGAAATGAACAGTGACAATTATGGAAAAAAATAAAAACAAGATCAAATAAAAATTATCACCAGTTAAAACATTACTTATTGAAATGTATATAAATTATTAATTAACCTAACAAAGTAACTTGCAATTACAAAAGATAAACAATGATAATTTTTTTTAAACAATTAATGGATGCTATTGTAATCAAAACAATTGATTGTTAAATAAACGATTTCAACGATTGACATAATAATAGTAACAAACATATTTGACATTCGTTACCTCACAAAAATGATTTGGTCCGGGCATTACTAGTAAATCACAACGGCATAACACATGTATGACTACGAACGGGTAGATATTTTAGACCATTCAATCAGCGTATATTTTAGTGTCAACATAATTTCTTAGCGGACAATGCGTTTTAATATGACGATCTTACCTTGAGACATAGTGCACAATACTTAAATATTTTTATGATATAACGGGATGAGAGGACGAAATGAAGATTTGCAAACAAGTTAATAGTCTAGATCTTCATCGTACACAATTTCTTAGAAACATATTTCAAGTCCAGTCGGTCTCCCTTAAAGAAGAATTGATATAATACAATATATAAATACTTCACAGCATGATAATATCAATGTATAAAGAACTATCACATATACTTTATGAAATTTGAGAAACTTAATCGAAATTCTTAAGTGTCCCTTCTTGCAGTACAATAGGCATGAATCAAAACATTGGAAGAAACCTTACCTTTTCCACACTTACATATTACTTACATATTAACTTTCAGTATACTCACAATAAAAACTTCTATCCTATACATTGTAGCTAGGGCATTCTTGAATTAAATGTCATCATATTATAAAAGTTCACCACAGGCTCGTACATTTATATGGAACTAGAAGATTAATTCATGTATTGTCTAATGGAAAAAACACAAGTAGTAGAGTATCCTGCTGGATTTTTTTAAACCGTTGCAACATTTGATTTTGTAAATATTGACTTATATTATAAACACAACCATTAAATGATTGTAAGTCGATCAGATGTTGCTTGTAGAAAAACTGTGCGGTTGTATATTAACCGGTGTGAACAGTGAGGTGTATAAATCTGTGTCAAGTGAAACATGATAACTATCAGGTCACAGTTTTGTCATGGATTCTGCAAATTTTGCTTCTATGCATATTTAATAACTGTGAACAGATATGATGATGTTTTTAGACCCGTTTTGTGTGGGAGACTAGCTTGAAGAGGTGGTCGACGGTTAGGTCATATGTAAATCATTTACCTAAACTGTGTTACCGAGCAATTCACACATAAAACAATAAAATATATTTTTTGTAATACCGTCACATTCTTTCTGTTCAGCTCGAACAATGGCCTGATAGGAGCAAGTTGCAAGTACAAATTTCTTCACCAAACCAGCACGATTGTCAACTGTACCGCAGACATTAGGCTAGATAGAAATGAAAACATGAAGATCAAGATGTACTACGATATTAGTAGGCAGCGCCTTATTCCTGGAATGGACCTTAATAAAATGAAGGAACGCGTACATGTAAGTTTCTATTTGCCTTCATATATCTATAAGCTATTCAAATGGTAGAACTTGAAGTGGATAGCCTTTGCCACATCCTTCAACTGGGAGAAACCAAAGAGTTAAGCTGTTGCAACATCCTTAACTGGTAGAACGACAAGTGGTTAGCCTTTGCCACATCCTTAGAATGGTAGAAACCAAAGTGTTAAGCCGTAAAAACATTCTTTAACTAGCAGAACGGCAAGTGGTTAGCCATTGCCACATCCTTAAAGTGGTAGAACGAAAAGCGGTTGGTCTTTGACGCATACGTGCAGTCTGACCAGGCTGAACACTGTTTGTTATTTCATCAAAGTTTCCTCTTTGTAACCTTAAAAATTATTTATGGATAGTTCAAAACAAACTCAATATATCCACTAAAAATGTCGCAGGTCAAGCAGCAACGGTGTATGGTCACGGGAATCTATCTGTTAATGTATTTTGTCTTGTCTGTTAATGTTGCCCTGCGTTCACAAGAATTTCAAGAATTATGATTTCATTTTGGTTGGGTTTTTCATTGCATCAGCTTTACTTGCGTTATTTCAGGCAAACAAGAACACTTTTGTAGAACCACCGTCAATTAAGCTAGCTGGATGGCTTTTGCAAATGAAAGAATCCAAATACTCATAAAGAATGTAAATAAGGACCTTAAGAATAGTACACAAAATTGCAGTACATTTATGTGCTATAATATCTCAGTACATGCCATTTACTTAATTGGGGAGAGAGAATACCTTTCGCGACAAGATCAACATTTCCCTAACTTATATTTATTGTTTTCATTTAAGCTAAGATTATATTGATTAATGTCTACGAAGAAGTGAGCATGATTTTAAAGTATTTATATTTTAACCATTGTTTGCGTCATTTTCAAACTTTACTATGCTGTAGAGTATACATATTCATATTGATTTGATAAGTAAGTTGTATTGGACAGAAGTATAATTAATAATTTGAAATTAATTAGTTTTCATGTAGCATTCAAATGCATCAGCGTAAAAATCGTTCTGAAATTCCATCATTGATAACTCTTTTATCAGAATTATGTTTGTTTTATATTTATATATTCAATTTATATATTCATTTATTTTTTATTTTCCTGTTTGTTTGTTTGTCTATTTAATGTTTAATGCAGAGATCATATTGACATTACTCATCAAAGTTATATAATTTAATTTGTTTTACTCCAAACGCTATGGTTTGCTGATGTGTGTTATGTCGGATGTTCGCTCTGCGGGGCGCCATGCAAAAAAAACCACAAAAATACAACAGAGTTATCACTTTTTTTGCTCTAGATTTCTATGCTGGCTGACCAGGCTAATTTAGACGTTGACACTAGCAACAATGACTTCAAAAAAACAATTTCAGTGAAGCTGAAATACGCTGTACATGTACAGGCAGAGTATGTTTTACTTTGTAACAAATTTTGTTTGTTTGTTTTCGGGTTTTACGTCACATCGACATAGTATAGGTCATATCGCGACGTTCCAGCTTTACTGGTGGAGGAAGACCTCAGGTGCCCTTCCGTGCATTATTCCAGGCACGAAAGGGCACCTGAGTAAAACCACCAACGTTCCGTAAGCTAGCTGGATAGCTTCCTCACATGAAAGAATCCAAAGTCCCTGTCGGGACTCGAACCCACAGTGGTGACTTTGTAACAAATAAACCCATCGAAAGCCACATGTGTTTTATCACTCAAGTTTGTTTTTCCATTTTTTTTATTTTTTGTTTTGTTTCATAAGCATTGTTGTCACCGATTTTAAAACATTTTTATCTTTTCTTTGATTTCGACAGTATATCAATCGTGTATGCTTTCCTGATTGACTTAACGGTAAGTACCGATTTTTTCACAAAATGACTGGCTTAATTCACAAAATGACTGGCTGAATCAGCGGCCGGAGACAACTGACCACTAGTCTAAATGTTCCTGATTCACCCTTCCCCAACCCACCTCCTACCCTAGGTTTAAAATATGATAAACAAGGAAAGGCGGCGCTCAATGAACGCAACCCCCGCACGACCTAGCAACAAGAACCAGCAGCAAGGTTTATTTAAACCAGCAACACTTGATTATGAAGCACTCCATTTTGAGCTTAGCGGTCGTATACTATAATTTTGAGGATCAGATATACTGTTATTTTGTGTCTTTATATAAAATGATCTTTGAAAACTATTTTTACACTCTGAATCTAATATATTTTATTATATTTTATATTCCTTCAGTTAAAATATGCAGAAAATCTTAAATGTTTTTACCTCCTATTTGTACAAAAAATGCTGAAAGGAGAGACTTTGATCCGAAATCATAACTGATTACATTCTATTTTTTAAGCAAAGAAACGTTCGATCAAATAAGATACAAGGCTGACGAAAGCAGCACACAGATGCTTCGTTTGATTCATAGATACGTCGTTACAAACGAAGGACCTAGTTTTCTTCCGAAGACATATGTTAACATAACAATACCGCTGTCCAAGGAAGATACAGAGTTTGCTAGCATTGTGGTAAGATCTAATTGGTTCTCTGTTTCAAAAAAGGACTGTTTTAAATGTTTTTAAGATACGCTTTTTATCTTTTGGCATAGAAACAAGTGTCATTAACATGGTTGTAAGGAAATTATGTCATAAATTTGTACTATATTAACTGTGCTTAATAATGGGACCGTGGTACGAGTTTTGAACAATGACAATGACAGATTGTTTTATCTGTGTTCGTGCATTTCTTTGTTTTTTAAAGGCATATGTTTAGAATGGTAGAAAATTATCGACTACATTTTGAACTCGTAAAATAAAAATAAAAAAAATATATTCAACTTGTATTGATCCTAAACTCATTCAATATCGTCTATTTTTTTAATACTGCCTAATATTTCTTCTGTTGGTGATATGTTACCATACTTGCTTAAGAAGTTTCATAGTCATAAAAAACGACAAAAAAATTTTTTTTTTCTAAATTAAAAACATATGTTGTTGATAAACTTGATACTATGAAAGATTTATTTCAAACTTTCAAGTTTACTTATTTCATCATCAGGAATTGCCTTCTGAATGTGTGTACAGTGGAACTTTAGTTGAGACTTCTACACAATCATCAACCACGACGAAAGCAACAAAATTCTCACCTTCTCCTGACACGAAACCAGGTATTTAACCATAAATAATTATCATCTTACCCTAAAATCTGGTATATAATCATTAGCAATTATTATCTTATCACAATATGGTATAAAAACATGAGCAGCTATTATCTTACCCTATTGTGGTTTTAAACTATAAGTAATAATTAAAATACACTTAACAATACACTTAGCAATGATTTATTATTATATGGCACTAATCTTGCTATATATGTTGAATTATTTAGTATACAATGTATGACTCAAAACTTGGTATATAACTATAAGTAATTATGATGTGACACTACACCTGATTTATAGCTATGAGTAAATAGATATGATTGATTCTTATGTATCATTGTATATCATTTTTGCTTCAAACTTATCGAGTATGCACAAATATCATCTTCTGTTTATGTATTGATCAGGTAACTTAAGGGTCCAAATGTGTTGAAGATCCTGGACGTTTGAACTATTATTTGATATAAATACTGTGAAAATTTTAACGTGCTGAAGAGCAAATATAATTGTTTATTTATACAAATGTATTGTATCTCAAACATTTCTATGATTACAGAAAGGAGACGAAGAGAAGTGGAACAATCGGCACAAAGTGCGAAAAACACTGGAGAAAAATCAGAACCGAAATCCAAAGCTATGAATATAGTAAGCGCTAGTCATTTGCTTTTTAAACAGTCCACATTTCATTTTTAAAGTGAAAACATTAATGATGTACACCAGATGAGACAAAATATTTTAAGAAAATGAAATTTGAGAATATGTTTTATATTTAAAGAAAAGCAAGATGATTCAAGATACACGTTATAATTAACATGGTATGTGAGATAAAATGCTTAGTTTTTCAGTATTAATTACCTTTTTCCTGCGTGACTTACGCAGCAAGGGCTATATTTTGCATATTTTCATATGTTTGTTTTGTAATTGACATTGATTGTAAGTGCCTATTGCAAAGTGTAAATTATCTTTTACGATCACTTTGTAATATTTTACTTTTTGATACATATTCAAAATTTTGATGAAAATTAGCATGAATGAGGATGCGTGCTACTTTTCAAATCGGTTGTGTACTGTTCTTAAGGGATGACAATGCAATACAAAGCTTAAACACGCTTATTTTCTTTAATTGCCTTGTCATCTAATCTGAACAAACCCAGTTATTATTGTTAGTTAGGGAAAACAATAACTACTGACTGAGAAGCCAACAGTGCTGACCGTGATCAGTGTACGTAGAGCCAGATAATTTGTGAAGGCTAAGGGTTAAAGTGATATGACAAAGGTATTAAATTTCCATGTAGACATTTGTTGAAATATAAATATCCCTATCCAATTACGAATTTTGCATTCTTGATATATAAAAGCCGAGTTTCAAGTGCGAACAGCTTCTGAAGATGTTGCAAAATATCTGTATACACTCTATTGCAACCAGTTTATACAAAGTATAAGCTTAAACATTAAACAAACTATTACAGACAAACAACTGGCCCGATGTTCACAAAGAAAAGATCAGAATCAGGATCAAATAATCCAGATTTTATTCTATAATTGTATTACAAAACTAAAATTGATGGTATTTTGCTAGAATTAAATGTCAAATAAACAAGCTGTTAACAATTGCTGATTAGTAAAGAAAACAAAATATTTTTGGGATAAAATAGACGAATTTTAAAACAAATACAGACATAATTGGTTCAAAATAATAATCACTTTTAGGATCAAGATAAATATTTGGATCAACTTTAAAATGTCTATCTATTGTAAAAATCACTTTTCATTAATTCTAAAATCCTATAAACATGTTATTTTAAGTCCAATTTAATAAAGTTAATTTGAAATATTTGATATATGTGAATAAAAAATGGCAAATATTTGAGTTTTAAATTTGATATTAATGTTTACCTTGATCCTCAAATCTAAGTGAACAAAGCACCAGATATGTAAATGTTTGAATTTTTCAGACATGCAACGACGACTATTCTTGCGAGGTGATAATATGTGAAGTACTAAATTTGGAACACAATAAACAACACATCATTGATATCAAACTAGATGTTTTTGAAAATAATCTTGCCAAAGAAAAGGTATGTTTCAAGCACATTCCTTTGGTGCCTAATTTAGTCCTATCATTCATAATGTTATAATTGGATTGTTGTTAATTGGAAGGCCTAAATATAATGCGTTTTTACGAGAGAATATCTACTTCAATCAGTTTTGTATGGTTGCTGATTTATGGCATGTCGTATTCGCTCCGCTGGGCGACCCGCGGAGCGAAAGTATGACAAATGGTCACATTGTCGTATTTTCTTGTTCTCGTCTGGCGCCCTGTGGAGCAAAAATACGACATAGTACAAAACAGTCACCATGATTTTGTCTAAGGGCATCCTATAACGATATTATCCTCAATAATAAGTGTACCGGTAAGAATCGGCAGTCTACAAGTTTAATCCCCACCGCGCAAAATATCCTAAATAGACATTTTCATCTTTCAATCTGAGACAAAACAATCATAATTTTCAAAACAAAAGAAGTATTGACTGAATAGCAAACAGTGCAGAACAATGATTGCCTCAACCCCAATTGTACCGGCTGATCTAGGTCTTAACTTGTTGTACATGTAAATTCAGTTGCAGAAAGCTCGCCTTGGATTTTAAGAAAGTATGTGTATTAACCCATTCTGATAGATTAGAACTTTCATTTGTGATAGATTTATAATGAAGAAATTGAAGATATAATATTTCGTGACAATTTTGTATTGTTTTATATAGGAATTCCTTGAAATACATTACGCAACATACGCAACCGTTACTGATCCGTTTATATGGTATGGTGGAAAAGTTGTTCCGTGGAATAAAACTGTATTTGCGGAGGTAAATTTTGAATTGAGATACGTTTGTCATATGATATGTTAGTATGATGTAGGTACATGTTATTTGACAAAGTCCCGCCTTTATTCTGCTGCAATGATGCAAATAAATCATTTGCAATTGATAAAAACATTTGTCCGTCCTGACTTACTCCCACAGGATTTTCCTACGTCCGTTTGTGACAATTTAACAAGGGCATAAACCCTTAACAACTTCAGTTTTAAACATCATTAAACTTCATGTGAGGTTACATCGCATTGAGAGAAAACTAATTTACAAAGAATCGTTAATCTTTTTCTCTTTGCAAAATGTTTTTTCGGGCTATAACTTATATCAATACCAGGAACTTTATTAATGCATATAAGTATGTTTATACTGAAAATATTTACTTGACTCTGTTATATATAATATGTCATTATGCATGTTTCAAATGTCACATAAAATTACAGTTTTTCACAGTAAGTACATATATTTAACAACATTAAAGAATTATTATTACGTTACTTTTGAATATATTATATGTAATAAATACTGTACATTAATGCAATACAGCGATGTAAATTAATGTATTCCAGAAATGGACAACATTTGTTGTAGAACTTACATCTGATGTATCAGAGATGGTCATTTGGATTATTATAGGAAGTGTTCTTGGTGCCCTTGCTGTCCTAATCATAGTTGTCATAATTCTTTGGAAGGTAGGTCATTTATGGAAAACTTGATAATTTCTGGTTAGTTGTCCAGAAAAACCGGTTTGGTGGATCGACTGTCGATATATGAGCAAATTATGTTTTAAATCGGCTAAAAATTCAGAAAAAACACACACAAATAAGAGGTGTGAGATTATAGTGTTGTTCTTTAAATTTCAAATATGTTATGCCTTAATTGTGATATCAGACTTAAAGTCGAATATCTCACAAGAAACCGGAAATCGGCAGTTAATCCAAATCAGAATCATTTGGGACAGTAAATAAAATATCTTGCATATCTTGGCGAATAGTACAGTCGTTTTGTAACATACATGTGTCAATCAGCTCTGTACTTTTAAAATTTTATTTGACAAAGTCTCGCCTTTTTTCTGCTCCCATGTTGAAAAAATCGTTTGCAATTAATTAAAATTATTTTTGTACGACGATTGTTTGAAACATAATTTATCTTAAAATGTCATATTTACACTAAATATTCTGTAGAGTTGCCAAAGTTTCTTTAAAGCAAAGGATCATATAGAAAAGGACATATCTTAATAGGAAAAAGCACTTTTTTTAAAACAGTATATTGTATTTCCAGTGTGGGTTCTTTACAAGGAAGAAACACAAAGAGGTCCAAGAATGGAAGCGCGCAAGATTGTACAACCGTAAGAGTGTCAGAATGTCAAATAACGAAAAACAACCTTATTCTGCAATTGAGGAGACAGAAACTTAACTTACTAGTGTGCATGCACATTTATAACGTCAGTTGAAATGCTAGTCTTAAAATTTGCCCATCTTTAGTGGTTTTGTTTATATTTGGATACAATTTTCGTAAATAAACTGTAGATAACATTTTGAAAACATGATTATTTCTTGAGCTTTACTGTGTCAGCATAGTTATAGTATAGTGTATGTTCGAGTGATATTTTGAATCACTTGACTAAACTTTTCTGATCCGGCATATATCATTGTTTGAAAATACGTTTTGTGTAACTAAGTTTTTTCCCTCGATGATAAATGAAGAATACATATTTGACGTTGTCCGTTGTGACATTCTGCTTCCGGTTTTCCTTCGTCCGTTTGTAACAATTTAACTAACAAGGGCATAAAACCTTAACTATTTGAGTAAAATCATTATTAAACTTCACATCTCATTGAAAGGAAACGAATTAACCAAGAATTGTTAATCTTTTTCCATCCAAATTCTTTGAATTTATTGCCCTTTGAAATATTTTAGCCTTTTTTGGGGGGTATAACACAAGTTGAAATGGAGAATTTCACGCTAGTAAAGAAGAAGTGCAATATTTAAGAATAATCACTTTCATAAGAATTATATTGCTCTTTGCCATTCTTTATACTTAATTTGTGTGCATATCTAAAAGGAATAAATGGGGATGGGCATGTCTCATAGACTAAAACAGCAGTACACAAGAGTATTACTAATTGTATAATTTGGAATTATTTCCCTTTGTTTTATACTTTTATAGGCATACAGAAAGGTAGCAAGTATTAAATTGAATCCAAATACAATAATAGATAACATCTTCAAAGAACTACCACTATTTTGATGTAAATGTCGTACTTTTGTCTTCTGCATATTTAATTGTAGTCTAGGGTATAGTTCAAAAAGTTATTAGAAATAACTTTAAATTTTACAGCTGGAATGAGCTCATTATTGGAATTCATCTTAGATTTTATGACATGACAGGACTGGAAATAATTTTCCAAAATCAATGTTCCATTTGTTTAAGGTCTAGACCAATAACCTATCTGCAAATTTTCAGATCGGTCGCTTACTCGGTTTTTCCAGAATATCTATTCTTATTTTGAAAATAAGCCAAAATTGAAAAGCGTTGCAACGCTTTTAACTCAAATCAGGCTTAAAATAGAAAAAAATACGAGTTTTTTTATTTCTTTCTGAGTATGTGTCTTAATTATCGTTTTATTAAGTAATTCAATTAAAATAGACACACCATGATGTCAACATCAATTGTAAATAATAAGTGCATGAATATAAAAATTCTAAAAATCTAAAAGCGGCTATGATTCAAATTAAATTTGATATATCATAAAACTAGTCACGTTTGATGCATTTATAATTGCGTATATAATTGCTCTTGAAGCTTCTTTAAAATAAAAGCAGAGAAATATTTCAAATAAATAAAGTGTTAATGATAATTCATTTTTGATTTTCGGATGTATAACTTTAGATTTGAATGTTTTTAAAATATGCTTAGTAGGTAGTAGTGAAACTTTGACTTAAAATGAATTGACAAGATATTGTATGTATAATAACTGTTACTTATGAGTGTATTCTCTTCATATTTGAGCACAACTTCCTTCAATATCAACTATTAAATTTAGATTAGACTATAATAATTTTGTTATTTGTTTTCGGATTTGATATATACTTGAACAAAAGTACCCTTATAATAAAAAAACTTAAACGACGATTAATTCAAATGTGACCTTGACCTTTAAATGACTTTGGTATCTTATCAGTTAAAACATATTTTGTCTCACTAAGCTTTTTCTCGAATGGAATCTTTGAGTTTGTGTTAGAAAAATTGGTCAGTTTTTTTTTTATTGAAACTTACCTATGTCAATTCCAGTAAACTCCATGTAAAAGCTGTATATTTATGTAAAATGGAACGATTTTAATACATAGTATATGTCATTTTATTCACATTTGTGACTTGTCATTCATTTTCGCACAATTTACTGTAATTTAAAGACCGGAATAAGGCCTTTTTTCTTAAATGAAAAAGCATATATTTCCCCTAATTAAAGAACAATATTCCCCTATCAATGTTTTGATTTCTTGAATAAACTGAGGATAGCAAGCAGGTATAAAATTGAATTTATTTCTAAATTTGTTTTAAACTTTCCTGACTTTATCTTTTTCCCAATTTGCCGAGACCCCATCCCAAACACACACTTTGTTGGCCTCGCCAGCGGATTCTGGAGGATGAAAACATTACGGTCTTTATCTGTGTTAGCCTAATGTTATTATTTTGATAGTTCTGATATGTCTTTTACTTTTTTTGTTATTCAATTAACTAATTTTTTAAATTTATTTCTAAAAATCAGGATCATTCTTTCGTTTTCCTGTTTGGAACATATGCAAAAGCTTTTTCGAAAACAAAGTAACGGCAAGTACGTAAAAGAAATACAAAACACTGTTGCAATTATGAAATTTAATAAAAAAATAATGTTTTATTTTAAACATTTCTTTGTCTTACAAAATGAAAGTGAGAAATGAGAAGAAATCAGCATGTTTTATCTTCAATAAATATTACTATGTACTATAGATTAAAAATTGAAGAAGCTATTGCATTGTTAAATGACAAAGTTTAAAAACACGGACAAAAATAGAATTAACTCGATGAAACCAATAAAACAATGTAAATTAATCTAAGAAATGGGTCAAAGACAGAAAAGGCCGGGTTGCATTTGTATACCAAATATCATGAGACTGTGATGTTACGAAAACAAAATTACTATTGACCATGTCGAAACGTTAACTAAGTCAGTAACAGGAAATGGATGAGCGACAAACACCATAGTATGGGATCACATGACAATGCTGTATGCTGAATATCAAGAGGCTATGATGAGAAGTGGATGAGAAAATTTCCTACCATTGACCATAAATGTAGAAAATTTAAATAAGTTGCAAAACAAGAAAAGGATAAGCGACAGACCAGGCCCGGCTTTCACTAACGTTCTCAAAATCAAAATCTCAGCTTAAATCTGAGGTTTTACTCAACTTAGAAATTTAGATTGAGATTTTTTTCAGTTTGGCTTTCACTAAAAACTATTAAGAAAATCTCAACTTAATATCTGAGATTTTTCTCAGATATATTGAGACAAGGTTTGGCTGTCTCAGATTATGTCTCAGTGAAGCTAATTTATTATTCTCAGGGATATTTAACTGTCTGCATGGTTATTATGATAACTTAACATAATTTTACATTTTTTGGCAAATTAAGTTCCTATTAATTTCATATTAAGTAATATATTGACTGATTCAAGCGGGTGACATCATGTGCTCTAATTCATGACGTCATGTTTTAATGACGTCAAAATAATCATACTAAAATAATTCATGTAATTTTGTTTTGTTTTCTTTTAAAATGTTGTTTGCAAAAATAATCATGTAGATCTACATTTTATTCTTGATAAATTAGCATTCAAAAATTCATACATTTGCAATTGCTTCTTGGTGTTTTTTTTTCTTTTTTTTTTATTTTTTTTTGGGGGGGGGGGTGCGGCTTGGGGAAAATAAAACAAGAAAATATAGATCTACTTAATGCAATAAATACACAAAACATTTTTACCTGTTGTGCCATCTTACATCAAAATAACAACTATATACTTCGTCAACAATGCCCACTTAGAAAGTCGCTCATGTATTGAGAAAAAAGAACAATCTCAGTTGAGAAAATTCTCAAATGTTGAGAAAAAGTTTAGTGAAAGCCAACTTGAGATTTTTCTCAGGTGAGTAAGAATCTCAGTCAATATTGAGTTAATCTTAAGTTGAGATTTATCTCAGTTTGAGAATGTTAGTGAAAGCCGTGCCTGAAATCAAATTCTACGGTATGGGACAAAGTTTCAATGCTGTATGCCAAATATCAAAAGGCTGTGATAAGTAGTTGCCGAGAAAAAAAGTAACGAAAATTTCCCGCCATTGAACATTTATGTCGAAAATTTAGCTAAGTCAGTAAACCGGAAGTGGGTGTGCGAAAGATCTGAAAGCGAATCCCATGGTATGGGACCACATGCTAATGATGTATGTCAAATATAAAGGGGCTGTGATAAGTAGTTGCCGAGAAAACAGTAACGAAAATATCCCGCCATTGAACATTTATGTCGAAAATTTAACTAAGTCAGTAAACAGGAAGTGGGTGTGCGAAAGATCTGAAAGCGAATCCCAGGGTATGGGACCACATGGTAATGATGTATGTCAAATATAAAGAGGCTGTGATAAGTAGTTGCTGAGAACACTGACATTGACCATTAATGTAGAAAATTTAATTAAGTCGGAAAACAGGAAGCGGATGAGCAATAGACCTGAGATGTCCACAGTATGGGACAATGTGTCACTGCTGTCTACCAAATATCAATAGGCTGTGATTAGTAGTTGCTGAGAAAACTGTTACGAATAAATGTCCCCGCTCGCCCGCCGCCCAACATTAACCTAATTATAACCCGGGTTTGCACCTGTGCAACCCGGTCAATATTTTAAAATGTCTTTGTATGTGTGTGGGTGTATCTGATGTAAATTTTCTTTGTTTCCCTTTCTACAATTCATTTTTCATTCATTAAAAACGTAGATAATATTTTTGAATGTCAACAGTATAGCTGAATTAATAATGAATCGATTGTAAAGACAAAACTAATGTTCATAGAAACATGAATTGATAATAAAATCACTTTTAATTTGAAAGCTGTTGAATAAATTATTCATCAAGAACATTTTTCCTAGTAGTTGTTAAGACGCAGTAGAAATGTGTTTGTCATAATATGTGATAGGTACACTAAAAGTGTTTGTTTTAGTAAGAATGAAGCATTTGTAAGACATGGGAATTAAATAAAGTATTACCTCCCTCCTTGCATATATATAAGGGTTTGATTTAATGATAATTACTTACTTAAAGTATATTTTTGTGTATGCTTGTAACTGTTGATGAGATATTCTTTATGATAAAAGTGTAAGCAACTAGAAGTACCTATTATTGTACGAGTTTTACTTACTTGAAGTACCAAGTATGTAAGTGTTACCAATTTGAAGATCTTTTAAACATAGTAGCGCATTCTAAGTATATGAATTTCACGAACAGACATGAGTGTCACCTGTTTGAAATACTTTATAGTATACGAATGTTCCCAATCAATGAGTATGCTCTGGAGATCGGATAACTTGTATCTCCATTCCAGTTAACGCACTGTGCATGTAAATGTATATGATTTAACTCTGACTCATTTCAACAGAAAGGTCCCTAAACTATGAAACAAGTGTAATAAAATAAAAGTTTTAGTTTGAAATAAATTTCAATTGAAAATTAAAAGATGATTCCGCGCATGCACCACCAATTTTATCCAATTGTTTTGTTTTTTTTACACACATTCTTATTTTACATGATTCGTATCAATTACAGACAACCCTATCTAGGTTTTGCATTTAAAGACTTTGACTTAATATTGAATTTTCAATTATTCATTGTAAAGGGTTAGCCTATGTTATGACATTAAGATATGATCACCCTAAATCGCATTGTATGGAACTGAAAAAATTAACAACATTGGTCAAATATATGTATTAAAGGACACCTGTATGTTAAGATAAACAAAGTTTACAGTACGGTTTACAAGTCATGGACATTTTTTATTTAAAGCTTGAATATTAGAATGGCTGTTTTTTAAAAATGAGGAAACTATCTTATTTATAATATCATCCTCTTGAAAAAATATTCATGTTGATTATAATAGCTGTCAGCTATGCAAAATGATTGCTTCTTCTCAAATTGTTTGAAATATGTATAAAATGTTACTCTACCCAACTTCTTAAAAAAAATGTTTAACCATTTTCTACTAACAGAGCCTTATACAAAATACAGAGTATTTCTAAAATGTATCTTCATAAAGGACAGCTTTCAAAATATGCCTAAATTTTCTTAAAAGTGTATTGGTGCTCTTGTCAAATATCAAATACTTTTTCTGTGTAGTTTTGATTTTATTATACTTTGAAAATATCAGGTACCATATTTGCTATCAAATTTAACATCAGGTACCACATTTATTATCAAATTTGTCATACCTATGATTATATAATGAAAATCAAACACTTTTTTTCTTTCTTAAAGGGATCAGAGATACACAAATAATGTTAAAAGAGAAAAATGCCCCTCCTGGACTTTGAACCCATGTGCCTTAGTTTCAGTGCAGTTGACAGTAATTCTAGTCTATTTAAATACTTAACAAAGTGGAGAAAATGCTTAAGGAGGGTCAACAAACAACGTGTAACGTGGTCGCTTGGTCACAACTCTAAATTTCAAATACCTGAATACAATTTGACAAAAATCAACCATGCCTTTTTGAAAGTGCATTACACTATAATTTTCAAAAAATCACAATCAAAAGAGTGATTATTAGATATCTAGAGGATCTATAAATATGGCATTTATTTTCATGGAGTAGTATGAAAATGAATGAAACACTCGTGGTTGTATCAACTTTTGAAATGTGAAATTTTCATACAACGAAATGAAAAAATTAATCGCGCATTGATAGAAAACCTAGAATTTTCTGTTAGTATATACTTTTTCTCTTTTTCGGCCTCACAGTGGTAAGAACTCCACTTAAACATTTTTGAATTTGCTGAAATATGAAGAAAATTGTGCAGATACAAAAAAATGTTTCACTAAAATGAAATTACAGTGACAATACTGAAAATGAAAATATACATTTTATTTCATCAGTATTTTTTCAATATTTCTCAAATATATATATAATAAATATCTATCTCCATATATGATACTGTGAAAAAAGAAATAGTATGTCATAACTAAAACCATACGTTTTTATAATAACTTTTATATTAATATTTGCAGTTTCATCATGTTTCTAAGGTTTATATCGGTATTGTTCATATTTAATATAAGTTATGTAGGGTTCTGTTTTCTCGTTTAAGTGGAGAAGTAAATGATTTCGGATACATGTCAGACAGAATTAGTTTTATATAGAATAAAATACGTTAAATCATTTTGGTGACGTCAATAACGTCTTATTTACTTAAAACTGTGTCAGTTTGTATAACAAGTGAGAGTGTTTGATTTTTAAAAGTCTAATTAAATTACAAATTGTCACTTAACTGAAAAAAGTATCTTTAAGCATTCATATAATTCAAAATTGTCAGTTGACGGTTTAGAACAAAACTGAAATCATATTATGATACGTAAGTTTAATTGTTTAAGCGGTAA